GGTTGAACCACGTGGCCACGCGCCGCTGCCAGTCCTTGTGGAAGTGGGGCTTCAGGATCATGCCATTCCGGCTGGGCGCCATGGCTGCAGCCTACGGGCCTGGGGCGAGGAGCGGGCAGTCAGGGCCGGGCGCGGCGGGACGCGCCGTCCCCGGCCCCCGCGGTAAACAGCACGTCGCGGTGCGAGCCCGAGACTCCTCCGCGCCGCGCAGGGAGCGCTGGCCGGCGCCGATGCGGCGGATGGCGGCGGATGGAGCCCATGGCGCCGGGCCGGGGCACGCTCACCTCTCCCGGGGAGAAGGACCGGCGGAAAGGAGGTGGCGCCGCAAAGCACCCTGGGGTAGTACCGAGCCCGACCAATCACAAGCGTCAGGGCATCCTGACCAATCAGAGCCGGGCTTGGCGGAAGTGACGCGCACGCTCCCGGCCGCCCTCGCGGCCCGTCGCAGACATGGCGGCGCCCATGGGGACGCCCGTAGCTCCCCAAGACGCGGCGTCCGGGCGCGCTCGTCGCCGCAGCGCCGCCGGGGCGTCTCCCCGCCCGTGCATGTGTTCCCTGTGCAGGGGCGTGCGCGCCTGCTCTCGGTAGCGGCTGCTGTGAGCCGCACTGCGCGGCCACCCGGCACCTTCCGCGCGGCACCCGGGCGGGGCGCCGACTCGGCCGACGGCGGGCACTCTCGGGGCGCGCCGCCCCCGGCCTCCCGGCGTGTGGGACCTCGCGACTCAAAGTGAGGCGAGGGGTGGGGGCCCCGTCCCGCGCTCGGCCGGGACACCCAGCATTACACCGCCAGGTCGCCGTCACTGAAACGGCCGGGAGCAGCGGAGAGGGCGAGTCCCGGAGCCTGCGCCGGACGCCCTGGCCGGCTCGGGAGAGGCGGCCGCTGCCCCAGGCAGCCCGTGCCCCACAGCTGGGGGCGCGAGGTCTGTGGTCCGCCGCTAGAGGCCGGTCCCCCGACAGGTCCCCCAGGAAAGGGCCATTTTGGGGCTGGGCAGCTTGCGGACTGTTGCCTTCCGTGAAATGGGAAGCGCTGCCCTCAGCAGCCCCATGGCCGCTCGGCCCAGGGCCACTGGACTGAGTGTGGAAGCCGCAGCTCCACTGTCCCTCAGACGCCGCTGCACAGGGAGGGCGCGGCAGGACGCGGCAGGTGGGAACCCGGGTGAGCCGCATGAGGCTGACGCTCCTGGGCCAACGGCTCGGGGAGAGAGGTCCACACAGCGCCAAGGGCAGTTCCAGCCACAGCATTTATTACAAAGTGCCAAACCCAGGCGTCCCCACAGCCAGACAGCCCAGGGCAGATGGGTCCATTCCCCAGGCTCGCCTGCCCCCAACCCAAGCCCGTGGCGAGAGAGCAGGAGCCAGTGCCAGTGGCCCAACGGGTCCCGACACCCTGAAGCTGCCCGGCCAGTGGCCGCAGCAAGACCCTGGGCCCATCCCAGCACCAGGGCCCTTGGGACGAGCCTGGCAGAGCCCAACTGCGGCTCTCCGACTGCCACCGGAGGGCCCCAGAGCCCGAGGCAGGGCCGGTGAGGGCTGCGCAGAGGCCCCTGGGCAGCGCCTCGTCCTGTAGGCAGCCCAGGAGCTTGGCCGTGGTCAGGGCTCCTCCCCTTGAAGGCGCGGCTGCGTGGCTGCTGCCTCCTCCCCAGAGTCCTGCTCAGCATCGCTCCACCGCTGCGGCGTGATCATCTTCTTGGGTCCGTGCGGTGGAGGTCCGATGAGGGCCTCGATGTCCTCGTAGTTTATCACTTCTTTCTCCAGCAGGGCATGGGCCAGCTGGGGGGCCGGACGGGCAGCGTCACCCAGAGGCGCCGGCAGCCTCGGAGGCCCGGCCTGAGACTGCGGCAGCGGCCGTCAGCCCGCCTTAGCCCCGAGGAGACTTTGCTGCCTCCCCTTCCAAGCGCCATTCCGGCCAATCGCGATTTCCTCCACAGCTAGCTGTGCGCGTGTCGGCCGGCCTCACGGCGGGGCAGGGACAGTCGCCAGGTGGACAGCGCTGGGGCCACTGCAGCTGTGGTCAATGCCCGGCCTTAAGGGCCGCCTGGCAGGTTTGCGTGCGGCACCCCACCTGACGGCCGCCCCACAGTGGAGGGCCCGCGAGGTACTCTGCCTGGACCCCGGGTTGCGAGTGGCTGCCAGTCGCCACAGTAACATGTGGCTGGGCTGGTACAGGGGCGAGGGTCCCCCAAGGCAGTGCTGGTGGGGCATGAGCCCACGGTTCCGCAAGGCTGCCCGAGAGGGGGTGCCAGGCTGGTGCATGCACCGCCCTCCTGGCAGGACAGCAGCTTCACGCTGCTGAACAGGTGGAAGTGGCCAGTGGGTCCTGGCAGCAGAGAACTGGGGGACAGTGGCCGTTGGGGTGTCTTCCCAATCTCAGCACCTGCCTCACTGGGAGGGACAGGCCTCACCAGCAACAGGGGTTCCAGCTGCGAAAGCCCCATGACTGGACACCAGACAGTGTCCAAATAAGAGGGGCCCCCAGACAGACAACCCACAAAGTCTTTTCATAGGCGGGGAGCCTGGAGCCTGGAGCGTGGTCTGGGGACGTGCCCCTGTGCAGGTGAGGCACCCAGTGAGCAGGAATGGGGTGCAGGGGAGGGGGTCTGTCAACCCTCTAAGCACAAGGCTGTTCCAACCTTGAACCTTATTTTCAGAATTCCAGAAAAAGAACAAAAATTTCAGGAAAAGCCTATTTGGGAAAGGATTAAAGAAAACTGCGAAACATTGGTAATTTTGCTAAAGCTGAGCCGGGAGGCTCCTCCGGCCGAAGGGACTGGCTTGGTGTTGGGAGCGGGGCCGAGACAGTGAGGGGGTCGAGGCCCCAGCACCGTGTGTCAGTGCGTCGGGGCGGGGCGCAGCGGGGGGCCCCACTCACCGCCTGGAGCTTGCCCAGGTTGTCACGCAGCACCTGCTCCGTGTGCCTGTACGCCGTCGCCACCAGCAAGCGAGCCTCCTGGGAGAGGACGGGCCAGCGCTGACACCCGCGCACAGCTGCCGCCCGCCTGGCCCAGATGCCCGCCCACAGCCGCCCGTGGGCGCCCGGCCCTCACGTGGTCCATCATCTGCTGAAGGCCCTGGCTGAAGGGGCGCCGTCCGATGCCCGCGAGGCCCTCCTGGGCGTCAGGGAAGGAGACGGGCCCAACGCGGGGGGCCATGCCGTACTGCCTCACCATGGAGTAGGCGATGCGGGTGACCTTCCTCAGGTCGTCCTGCGCCCCTGCGTGCGGGCACAAGGAGGCCTCCTTCCAGCTGGGGCCCACCTGCGCCCCTCGGTCCCCGGCCCCAGCGGGTGCCTGGAGACCTCCCGCGGGGAAGCGCGCCGGTGACTCTCGCTGGCAGTTGTTCAGGGACCCAGGCAGGCTGCGAGGGTGCAGCCCAGGCTCATGGGGTCCGGGAGGAGCAGCAGAGTGACCGCAGCCCCCCGTGGCGACTTGCCGGGCAGCAGTGCGTGAGGTCCACCTTCAGC